GAGTTGGGGCGGGGGCTGCATGCGGCCCCATGCGCGCAGCTCCGGCCGTTGTTACCCGGTGCACGCGCAGCATGCAGACATGGGGGCTCCCGGTCGGCGGCGCGGGGGCATGCTCAAGCGCTGTGCGCTGCAGCGGGTGCAGCGATCTGGGTTGTGCTACTACAACGTGACGCGTGGCCGGGCGGCCCAGCGCCAGTGACGGGCGGGAAAAACCCCGGCGACTCCACATGCATCTGCCGTGCAAGCTCGTAAGTCAGACACCCCTCTGCGCGCGTGCATACATGGGGAAGATTCCATGGCGCGTGCGACTTTCCACGCACCGCGCCGCGCGTCTGCTGCAATGAGGATGCTCCGCTGGTGCTGGCGCCACCACCCGCTCCATTGGTGGTGCTGCTGCCGCCCGCCGCCTGCTGCACGGCGGCGAGGCCCTTCCCATTGGTCGTAATAGAGCGTGAGTTTGCCTGGGCCGCCTGTTGCGCCAGACGAAGCAGGCGCGCGGTCCCGCGGGCCATGGTTGGACCCTCGCACACGCTGCACTCCTCGAAGTGAGATGAACTCTAAGGGAGGCTTTTCAGGTGCCCCTCGTGCTACTTTTGGATAATAATGACCTTCTGTGTAATGGTCTGAGCGGGAGGGAATCGGAACCAGAGCGAAGCAGAGTGATGAGTGAGTCCCTCTGGTACCGGACCGTGATGCGCCGACGTCAGGCCTGTCCAGGGAGCGCCATCAAAAATGCTCCCTTGCTCATTGCATACGGTCATACTCTACAAAACTCCGCGGTGATCTACTCGCAGCGGTGGCAGCGGTTTAGATGCCCGTCGCGACGGTAACACGCCGTGGTATTAACATCACCAGGGCTTGCAGAAGCTGAAAGACCTCCCGTCCGCGGTGCTGCCGCTGCAGCGGCGGTCAAACATGCCCACGGCGCCATCGTACGCATCGCTGCAGCAGGCTCGCCAAAGCTCACCTCTACGCCCGCAGCCGCCCAGCCGCCTCGCGGACAGCCCTCGCGGCAGCCCCTCAGGCACCGCACCCACCTCACCCCCCCGTGTGCCTGACGAGCGGCGCGGCGACACAGCGCTCGAGCAGGTGTGCAGGATGGGAGAGCCAACCGACCCTGCGAGCGCAGGGCACACACACCCGCATGCGCACACTGATGCACATGCGCGCGCCCCCGCGCCAACCAGCGTCCCCTGCCGCTTCGCCTCGCCCTTTCGACCGCGCCGCAGCACGTGGCCGGCCTCGCGCAGCTGGTGCGCGCGCTGCAGCAGCAGCAGGACTCGCAGCACGCGCTGCTGCGGGACGCGCTGCTGGCGCTGGCAGCTCGCCTGTGTGATGTGGAAGACAGGCAGGGGGAGTTGCAGCATCAGCAACAGCAGCAACAGCAGCAACAGCAGCAACAGCAGCAACAGCAGCAACAGCAGCAACAGCAGCAACAGCAGCAACAGCAGCCACAGCAGCAGCAGCAGCAGCAGCAGCAGCAAGAGCAGCAACGGCACCAGCAGCCCCAGGACCAGCGGGATCAAGACGAGCAAGGGCAGCTGGAGGGCCCAGGCGCCGACGCTGATGCTGCTGCCACCGACACACAGTGCCCCACAGGAATCGTTGCAGTCGAAGCCACCTTGGTCGAGCTGGGAGAGCGGATGCGGAGGATTGAAGAGAACGCAGCCGGCAAGGCGGCGCGGGGCGTGGGCGCTGACTTTGACTGTGACCAGCAGCAGGCGCGGCTGGAAGGGCTCGAATGCGATGTGGAGCAGCAGCGGCGGCAACTTGCAGAGCAGCATGAGCAGCGTGAGCAGGACAAGCAGTGGTGGGGGCAGCGGTTGAGGGAGGAACAGCAGTGTCGGGACCAGGAACAGCAGCAGCGGCGGCAAGGGACGGAAGCTCTGGAGAAGCTCGCGGCGCGGCAGCAGCAGCTGGCTGAGAGGCACGAGGGGCTGGAGGCGCAGGTGGCCGCCTGGCAGCAGCAGCAGCAGCAGCAGGTAGCTGCGGGTGATGCAGCCGACCCCCACGACGGGCAACACCAGGCGACCGAAGGCCTATGGCAGCAGGTGGCGGAGACCAGGGGCCAGCTGGCCAGCCTGCAGCAGCAGGTGCTGCAGCTGCAGAGCAATCCTGAGGCCGCGCCCTCTGCAAGAACTCAGGCAGCAGTAGCAGCAGCAGCGGCGGCGGCGGCGGAAGCGGCGGAGGCACTGCGGGGGTGCTTGGCGGCGGAGGGGCGCGCCCTGCTCGACGCACGCGTCTCCGAGGCGCGGCGCGAGGTGGGGCTGCAGATGGCGTCCCTCCGCGCCGAGCTTGCGTCACGCATTGACGCTGCAGCGGCGGGGGCGCGCGAGGCGGCGGCGCAGGGGCTGGAGGAGGCAAAAGAGGCCGTCGAGTCGAGGGCCGCCGAGGCCCGGGCGGCGGCTGAGGATGGGCTCAAGGCGCTGCGGTCGGAGCTGACCGCCGGCCAGGTTGGCGGCGGGCTCTTGGGGTGTGGCGAGGGGGTCTAGCCACGGGCGGGCGCACCGCGGCGGCCGCCGCCGCCACCACGCCCAGCGCGGCACGGCGCTGTGTCTTTCATGGGGGGCCAGAGCGTGGCGCAGCGCCCGCTGCTCTGCTGCGACTTTGGACGCCTGCGTATTGACCCACCGCAGGCGCAGCCCGGCACCGCTCGCCTGCCTTCGCGCTTTCCCTCCTCTCCCCCTCGTTGTCACGCTCAAGTTGACTTGCTCCCTCGCCCGCCCATCCGCCCATTCTTAGGTGATCCTCGAGTCTCGGCTGGCGTCCGTAGAGGCAGCAGCAGACGGTGCGTGCGGCTTTACGGCGCCGCTCTTGCCGATAGACTGCAGCTGTTGCCCATTTACAGCCTTGCAACCTGCCCGTCCGGAGCGACGCACGAGCGTCACACCACTCACAGCAAAGGCCCTAGTTTGGCGTCTCCTAACGACCCACGCACCCGCCATGCCGACCAACCCAGGTCGACTGCAGCGGGGCAGCGCCGACGCCCACGCCCTCGCCCGCGTGTCGGAGCGTGTCTCTGCCCTCGAGGCCGCCTGTGCAGCACAGGCCGCCGCCCTGGACGCCGCGCGCGCGCGCGCCGACGAGCAGCTGCCCTGCTGGCGGGCGCAGCTAGCACAGCTGCAGGCCGCGCAGGCCGCGGTGCACTCGGTGGCGGCGCAGCAGCAGCGGTTTCAGGCGGCTCTTGAAGCCTTGACGGCGGCGGTGTTGTCGGGCCGCCACGAGGGGCCCGGGCCGGCGGCGGCGGACGGGGTCGGCGGCGACGCGCCGCCGCAAGGAGGGCGGGTTGGGGCGCCAGTGGCGGTCGCGCGGATGCTGCCGGTGTGGGGCACGCTCGGCGGAAGTGGCGGCGCCGGCCTCAAGGGCGGCGGGGCGGTGTGGGGAGAGGACGAGGGAGAGGGCATGTCCTGCGAGACGCCGCCGTGCATTGACGCGGCACTCAGCGGCGTGAGCATTGCCGCGGGCGCCCAGCACCACTTGCCACAGCCGGCGCAGCAGGAGCACGCGCCGGGGGCGAGGGGCCCACACCCGCACGCGGCCGGCGTCAGCGGCGACGGCAGGCGCAACGCGCGGCAGGCGGGGGCGCTGGGCGCGAGGGACG